GTCCACAGTCCCCTTCTGCTTTAGGCCTCATTTTTCTCTTTGCTCCAGCTTTCTCCAACAGCCCCAGGGGTAGGAAGCTCCTCTTAGTGCTAAGAGACCCTGAGCTTCTTGACTTAAGTCCTCATCTTTTACATCATCTGATTCTTCAGTTTCGACGGTGATAGCTCCCTCTGGCCCTGCCTTAGCTCTGTGACATTATATCTCCTCTCTGGGACCCTTCAACCTGGTACTCCATACCTCTTGTGCCCTCTCACTTTAGGCAGCTTGCACTACTTCTGATCGAATGAAGAAATCCCTCATTTGGAAGTAGGAGAGGCCGAAGACATTCTCCCCAGGCACCATGGGACTGAGGGTCCTCTTGACATCCCCCTAGGAATACGAGTTCCCCAAAGCCCACATTCAGGATCTGCCTCTAGGATGTGATATCTCTCTCTTCTCTCCTCGAACTGCCCGTCTACTCCGTGGTGGTTTTGCTCTCCTTGGAGTGCCCCAATTTTATATTCTCAGGGGCCAAGGCTAGGTCAGCAGTCCTCTGTCTCTGACACGTTTGGAGCCACAGGTGCCTAAATGGGAACCAGGGAAGGGAATGGGTCAAAATTCTTCTCTTTCTCTCCCACCTCTCAAACTTCTTCACTCTAGTGACCTTCCTGGGCTCTCAGGGACTTCTGTGGTCCCTGTCCTATGAGAAACTGGTGAGTTGCTGCCTGATAACAAGGGGGTACCCTCAGCCCCCCGCGTCACGCTGCCTTCTTCTTCTCCCCCTAGCAGGATTCACCCTCTCATTCCCGGGCTCCTGGGCCCTGTTCTTAGGATCAGTGGCAGGGAGAAAAGGCTGTCTCTTTTCTCTCTCCTAATTTTCTGTATAACCAAAAATTATCCCAGGATGAGCAAGGGCATGTGCCCCTCTCCCCATTCCACTCTTGTCCCAGCAAGAATGGGATGGGCACAACGGAACTGGGGGGTCATCCTTTACTGCCCCCTCTACACTCAGCTCCCAGATGTAGGGCAGGAGGGGGCACTCTCCTGGCTACTGCAGAGACCCCTGGCTATTTGGGTAACCTAGTTAGTGAGAAGGGGGCAGGAGGAGATACAGCTCCACTGCAAATGGAGGTCTCTTTCTACAAGAGTTCCCTGCCCAAGGCCACAGCCATCCCATTCTCTGCTTCCTTGAGATTCAAACCAAAGCCTGTTTTTCTATATTTAAAGATAAAAAAAGTAAAAACCAAACACAACACCTCACAAGTTGTAACACTTGGTCCTTCTCTCTCTCTCTCTCTCTCTCTCTCTCCCTCTCTCTCCCCCTCCCCTTTTCTCTTCCCTTCCATCTTTCTTTCCACATGTCCTTTCCTTATTGGCTCTTTTGCCTCCTACTTTTCTCACTCCCTATCAGGGATAATTTAGGGGGATGGTAAAAGGTTGGCTAAGGAACAGACCCTGGGATTGGGGCTCTTAAGGGCTCTAAGAGAGTCTGTCTACCTTACCCTATTATGGGAAGGGAGACCCTAAAAAACTTCTCTTCTTCCTCCTTTTCTCCCCCACTATGTGGTCTCCCCAAGAGAACCAGATTGTCAAGGAGGGGCACCATGGGTTGACTGTTCCTCCTTGACAATGTAGCAATAAACAGATGCTGCCAAGGGCAGAGGATCGGGGAGTCATCTGGGAGGAGAGTGGTCTCTGGAGAAGGGGAGAGTCTTCTTGAGAACACCCCAGGGAACTGGCTTCTTGTTTCAGAATGGCAGCAGAGCTGCGATTAATATCTGGGGTTCCCCTCAACTGTCCTGGTTTTTGAGCCCCATCCTGTTAGACCTGCCCTCACCACCTCTTCTGCTGCTGTGTATTTGGTGACACCTCATAAGGACTAGTCCCTTCTGGGGTATCAGAGCCTTAGGGTGCCCTATCCCCTCCCCCAGTCAGTTTTGGCACCTGTAACCTCCTGGAACATGAAAGACTATGCTCTGAGGCCATACTCTGAGCCCATGAGAGCAGAGACTGGAAGGGCAAGACCAGGTGCTAAGGAGGGGAGAGAAGGGCACTCTGTCTCTCTCCAGACCATCACTGCACTTTAACCAGGGTCTTAGGTACAAAATCCTACTTTCCAGAGCCTTCCAGCTCTGGAACCTCAAACATCCTCATGTTCTCTCCCAGCAGCCTTTTGCATAAAAAAAAAAAAAAAAAAAAAAAGTAAAGAAAAAGAAAAAAAAATACATTGAAACCCACATGGAGAAAAGAGGTGTTTTCCTTTTATATTGATATTTAAAATCAACACCACACAAAAAAATTTCTAAATAGACACTTTTCCAGACCTTTGTTTTTTCGTGTCAGTGTCCAAGCTGCAGATGGGATTTTGTAATACTTCCGGCAGCTTCTTTCCTTGTGTACATAATATATATATAATATATATTTTTAATCAGAAGTTATGAAGAACAAAAAGAAAAAAAATAAAACACAGAAGCAAGTGCAATACCACCTCTCTTCTCTCTCTCCCAGAGTTTCATTTGTAGCCTATGCTTGGTGTCTCCTTGGACCTTAGCCCTTTACCTCCTCCTTTTCCTCTGGTTCCCCCTTCCCCCGCCCCCTTTTTTTTAGAGTTTTTCTCCTTTCTCAAGGGGAGTTAAACTAGCTTTTGAGACTTACTGCAAAGCATTTTGTATATGTAATATATTGTAAGTAAATATTTGTGTAACGGAGATATACTACTGTAAGTTTTGTACTGTACTGGCTGAAGGTCTGTTATAAATAAACATGAGTAATTTAACACCCCTGGTTGTTTTTGCAGACTTCCTTTGCCTTGCTTTTCTGCTGGGAGGGAGGGGGACCTCCTTGCAGCATACTGTACCAACTACTAAACACTTTGAAGGTGAACAAGTATAAGACTGAAAGGAAACCAAACAAGAGTGCTCAAGTTGTTTCTACAGAAGAACAGAAGAATTTTCAACCTAGTATGGGAAGTGGAGGAGAGTTGCCCACCAGGAGTGCCTTCAGGAAAGGAGAGAAAACCCAACCTGTCTATCTGTCCAAAGCAGAGATTCATCAAACATTTGCTGAGTACCTACTATGTGTAAAACACACTATATTCCCAGGGAGATACAAGATACAATAGCATGAATAATGATGATAATAGGGTCTACCACTTTTTGAGCATTTCATAAATGCCAAGCACTGTACCAAGTATTCATTTAATTGTAGAGACAACCTATGAAAGAACGGTCACCATTACTAGTGAAGAATAAAAGCCCAAGAGAGAATAAATAACTTGTCTAAGACTTATAAGCCAGTAAGTGATAGAACCTGGATTTGAACCCAAGGATATGGTGTGTTCACCCAAAGTCTGTGTTTATCCCTTAAAGCCCAGAAATCCAGCCAGTGAAACCCCCAGGCTATAAAAATCCAAAGAAAAGCCAACATAGGAACATTGACTTGGTTCTGTCTTAAATATTAACTATTTTCTGTCCCCCTCACTGAACGTTTTCTGTTCTATCTACCCCATTGCCATTCTATACAATAGTCTGCTTTGTGTTTTCCATGAGACTATATTGAAGTGAAAACTGGAGATGCTTCCATCTAGAGTCTGTCATTTTCCATGACCCATTGAAACTAGCAAATTGAAACTCAAGACCATGAACATAGTTGTTTTGAAGCCAAAACTAAAGTTAGAAAATAAATTTTAACCCCAATAAAGTGGGTTACAAATTAACGGAAACCATAATGGATTGTGGGAGGGAGAGTGAATCTGGTGTATTCGAACTCTAGAATGACTCATGAATGAAGGGTCAGTCTCCATCTGTACCATCTTGGGTCTGAATGCTGGGAGGTCACCTTGACACCCAAATTTCTTCAATTTTGGAGACAAGTAGGTGGTTGGCTACCCATGAATAGCCAGTCCTGCTCAAGGCTAAAGACTCTCTGAAGGCTCTCCAGAGGTAAATGGAACTCAGACAGAACGAAGTATGTTTCAGTAGGGGGCCAGATTCATCAATGAGTGGTGAAATCACCTTGGTGGGGATTGATCGACACTTATTAAAAGAAAATAGAACATAACAGTGCACCTTATGTCATAAGGGCATTGTTTCATGAAGTTTATGTTTCAGTTTTGTGTGTATGTACTGAGTACCAACGTAAAATATATTTCTACTAGGAGTCTGAGTCAAATCTCTTAAGTCACTAGTCCAGGCTATATATACCTCCAATCCATTTGTTAGGTAAGAGACAACATAGTATAGTGGAGCCAGAACACCTCATACTAGCACGACGTGACTTCAGACAACCTCAATTTTAACCTCTCTACACCTCAGTTTTTCAATCTGTAAAGTAAGGACAATAATAGAACCTACCTTAAAGGCTTGTTGAGGGTTAAATGAGTTAATATTTATACAATGCTTACTACGGCGCCTAGCATTGAGCTATGGGATCCAGGAATAAAAAAGCGAACGAGGAACAAACCTAGCACCAACGCACTTGTCCATATCTCCTCGTTGTGAGGTTTTCTCCATATTGAAAGGAGGAATTAACAAAATGCTTTATTCCAGCCCCACCGCACGCCACCCCCGCCTTCTTCCATTTCTCAATCTAGCACCAAGTAACAGGACTGTCAGAGAAACGAGCCGAGAGCGTCCCCCGGTGGCATAGTGTCGCCTTCGGTCTCAGTGCTTGGGGCCCGCGGCCTGCCAACCTCGCACTACAACTCCCATCATGCATCTCTTGCCCTCCGGCCTCTAACTGGGAAGGCGACTTGCGGCCCTGCGCTGGGGAACTTCCCCGCCCAGCATCGCAAAAAAGGATAACTATAGCCGCCCAGAATTACTTCCGGGGTAGGGCGTCGCAAGGGTTGCTGGGAAACGTATAACTCTAATTTTCTTCCGCCAACTGGTTAAATAGTCCCACCGTCACCGTGTGCCACGGAAAAAGAAACTCGAGAAACACCTTCCTGCCCTAAATTTCAGCGGAAACGCTGAATAATAAAGAAAATTTGAGTAAAGTGGATTTCCGTTCTTGGCGTGCTTCCAGTAGACGTCTAGGAGGAATCTCCCGGCGTGAGCGTAGGTATCTCGCGCTATATAGGAGAGTCGGCCCGAGAGCCGGGCCCTTTTTCGCCTCCTCGCTTCCAAAATGGTGAGTCCTATCTCGTGGGGAATGTGCGGGGTCGGGTGGAGGCTTGAGAGGAGCAGATTTGGGGACTGGGGGCGTTTGAAAACCTGGGCCACGGTGGAGGAGTGGAAAGAGCGTATGTTTGTTCCAGGCTTGGAGGAATTTGTGGAGGGACTGGATATCTGAGTGGCACTTTTCTGGGGGTTGCCGGCGCGGAATGTGGCTGGAAAGGAGATAGGCTGGGTAAGTTGCGCCTTCTTCCTAATGGGGTTTTCATTTTCACACAGACCAAGAAGAGAAGGAACAATGGTCGTGCCAAAAAGGGCCGCGGCCACGTGCAGCCTATTCGCTGTACCAACTGTGCCCGTTGCGTGCCCAAGGATAAGGCCATTAAGAAGTTCGTCATTCGGAACATCGTAGAGGCCGCAGCCGTCAGGGACATTTCTGAAGCGAGTGTTTTCGATGGTGAGTGAGCTCCTGGAGCGCAAACTGTGCAAGTATCTTAATACCTAAAACCACTTCCTGCCTCCTCTCCCACCCCCCACCCCCCCATCCGCAGGCTCTGTTCATTGGAGCGTGTCCAACAATTTTCTTGCACCTTTAGGATTGTTGTCGGTAGAAGAGAATGATATTTTTGCTATGTTGGTTGCCGTTTTGAGTCGTCTCTGGACAGAGGGGACTTTTGGTCGTACTGCACAATCTTTGAGCCTTATTTTGTGACTGTGTAGGGGATGAGATTCCAAAAGCACTTATAGTGTTTATCCTGTATCAAAAATTCGGGAGTACTAGCTGAAAACGTAAATGTAACAACTCTTGAATTGTTGACAAACATTTGAGTAGTTGTAGAAAGCAGTCTTTTGAAGACTTTTAAGAGTCAAAGCAGTCCAGTTTGGTCGACAAGGGTGATATTTGGAGCAATATGATGTTTTGATCGTTTCGTTTTCTTAAGACGAATTAACTTTGTTAGGCAACAGGAGTAGGCATTAGGGCTGATGCAATTGCTGAAGGAACTGGGTTTTTGGTGATATTACATCTGTGGTGTGGATTTAGTCCCTACGGTGACAGGGTCGCTCAGTAAGGGAATATTCATTTGTGGAACTGTGTTATATATATACGTATTTAGATACCAGAAACTGAACACTTGGCTTTGGGGATGAAATCTTGTAGATATGTCTGACAGACACTTAAGTGAGTTTACTTTTTTAAAAAATTTATTTATTATTCATTTTTGGCTGCATTGGGTCTTCGTTGCTGTGCGCCGCCTTCTCTAGTGGCGGCGAGCCGGCCTCATAGCGGTGGCTCCTCTTGTTGCGGAGCTCAGGCTCTAGAGCGCAGGCTCAACAGTTGTGGCGCAGGGGCCTAGTTCCTCTGCGGCATGCAGGATCTTCTGGACCAGGGCTCGAACCCGTGTCCCCTGCATTGGCAGGCGGATTCTTAACCACTGCGCCACCAAGGAAGCCCATGAGTAAGTTTACTTTTGACTGATAGAATGAACAAGAAAGAACAGTGCAATGTGGTACCATACCTAATATCACACCTCTAATTTTTTGTTTCTTAGCCTATGTGCTTCCCAAGCTGTATGTGAAACTGCATTACTGCGTGAGTTGTGCCATTCACAGCAAGGTAGTCAGGAATCGTTCTCGGGAAGCCCGGAAGGACCGAACACCTCCACCCCGATTTAGACCTGCTGTGAGTATCTTAAAGGAGATGTGGAAGCCAGAGGGGTAATGGACAAAAGATAAGGAAGGACCCAAGGAATATCAAATTAAGATCTCTGCCTGTGGGTGGGATCAACTAAGTCTGTAAAGACCTACACCTAAACATTTGTTTAGAGACACTTTTGAAGAATAGCTGTAAGAATTTGTTACAGATTGAGTAGTGTAATCTTTTTCCACATTTATTCATGCTTTTATGGCTCAAATACATTGTTAGTGATGGGAGGGTAGTGGTCAGGTTCTTTGAGGGGGGACTCTTCCGTGCATGGTTTCTTAAAATTCTTCATTTCTTTATCTTCCAGGGTGCTGCCCCACGACCTCCACCAAAGCCCATGTAAGGAGCTAAGTTCTTAAAGACTAAAGAAATACTGTTCCCTGGGAAGACAATAAAGTGGAAATTATACTTTATATGGCATGTTGAGTATGTATTGTCAGGTGGAGGGGGGGTGTATGTCATAGAATTAATTACTTTTACCAAGTATTCAGTTGTGGAGTGCCACATGATGTTTTCATGGGGTGAGAAAGCTTATCCAGGTGAGTTAAACCTTTTGTATTTCTGCCTTTGGCCTCCCCAATTTGCATAGCTGAAGGCTGGGGAGAGGAGTTAAGGCATCTGTGAATGTTAGATTAATTCAACCTCGCAAGTAGTTTAAGCTGGGGTCTTTAAAACAGGGAGGAACTAGCAGGGTAAGGAGTGTTATTGAATCAGGAAGTGATTTAGACTGAGGTGTGCATACCCCTGGTGGAGGACAGAAGACTTTATTTACTAGGAGCGGGTGACTTGGATAGCTTAAGGGGTCTGTATTCAGATTTATGTAGCTTAAAGGGTCTGTATTTAGATCTTTCATAAAATTCACCTGTCTACTGTGGTCTGCTGGTAAGCCAGTTCTCACCCAGCCTGCATCTTTCTATGGTACATTGCTCTATGGGGTGAAAATGTACAGGACACGAGGCGTTCCTAGAAATTTGTGGAAGTTCCAAGAGAGGACGTTTCCATGCAAAGTATGGGAAAAAGCTGTACCTAATTTTATCTGTGTGACAATGGTTCATTTGTTCCAGAATTCAGAAATTAGAAAGTTACCGGCTAGGGATATACAGTTGAACCTTGAACAACATGGGTTTAACTCTGTGGGTTGTTCTGTTTTGTTTACAATAAACACATACTACACAGTCCACAGTTGTTTGAGTCCTCAGATGGTGAAAGCACAGGCAAATAAGAAGGGGTAACTCTAAAGTTATATAAGGATTTTTGACTGGGTGGTACCCCTAACCTATGTATTGTTCAGGGGTCAAATGTATGTTTATTTGAAAAATTCGTTTGGGAATGGATTGCTAAGGATTTTGCTGGTTAGGTTATGTGATTTTTTTTCCCCCCTGAATTAAGCTAAACTAGGAGCTTGGAAGTTTTGATTAAAATACACATTGTTTGGGAATTCCCTGGCAGTCCAGTGGTTAGGACTTGATACCCTCACTGAGGGCCTGCATTCAATCCCTGGTCCAGGAACTAAAATCCCACATGCTGCACTGTGCAGCCAATAAAAAATAAAAAAAATAAAACATTGTGGGAAACGGTTTGTTAAAACACTGAGTGTAGGCAAGAGTCTCCATCCGTTGGGGAGACCCACAATATCTGTGCTTCTTCATTCCTCTACACTGTAATGACCCTGTTACACCAGGGATAAAACATTGGATAGAAAAAAACAGGGTTCAAGGTGACAATGAATGCTGAACCTGGTGGTCCTAAATCCCAGCTTGCTCAATAAAGCCAGATTCATGTAGTAAATCAGGATCATTTGCGTGCAGAGATTTCTCTTGCGATGTTTATAGGCACAGCTTATCCTTTTCTCAGGGTAGGTCTTAATTGGCTCTCCCATGAGTTTAAAAACTGATTTAAACTAAGAGCCTAAGAGCTAAGAATTGTTTTAGCTGTTTATCTATTGGTACTTGAGGATAATCCCAAACTAACTGATTTTGGAGTACTAGAAGTAACTCACAAAAGGGCTTTCCATGTGCTTCAGGTTCTAAAATAGCCCCATCCCACCTCCCAATCCACCAGTTACAAAGAACTCAAATGGTGTCTGATGGGCAACCAGGATATCCAATTTCTACGTATGGGAAAGTTACCTCCTGTATAGACATCCATCTATCCCAGAAAAGAAAGCCACTTAAGTTGTCAGAAGTAGCCCACAGGTCAGTTTGAGTTTCTCAAGGTATTTGGACTGCAAGATCAGGAGCCTTCTCTGCTTAAGCTATCGTGGACTGATGTTCTAGTAGTTGATCACAGAAAAAATGATATAAACCTTTGAGCCCCTGCCTCCACCCCCCACCCTTCACCTCCAACTTAATTTATTGAACTGTTAGGAGGGGGAAAGTTAATTGCAGTCTCAGCACCTCCCTAACATTTCAGATGTGTTCTCCAGTCTCGATGTGTAAAGCCAGGTAGACCCCTCTGGGCTCTTCCAGGCATTGGCCCAATGTGCACCTGTGAGGTATTGGATTTCAGGTCAATTCCCTGTGGTCAAGATTCATTGAGAAACAAAGCAATCTTAGGAAAGAAAAATGGAGCTGGAGGAATCAGGCTCCCTGACTTCAGACTATACTACAAAGCTATAGTAATCAAGACAGTATGGTACTGGCACAAAAACAAATACAGATCAATGGAACAGGATAGAAAGCCCAGAGATAAACCTATGTACATATGGTCACCTTATCTTTGACAAAGGAGGCAAGAATATACAGTGGAGAAAAGACAGCCTCTTCAATAAGTGGAGCTGGGAAAACTGGATAGCTACATGTAGAAGAATGAAATTAGAACATTTCCTTAAAACACTTCCTGACACCATACACAGAAATAAACTCAAAATGGATTAAAGACCTAAATGTAAGGCTAGACACTGTAAACCTCTTAGAGGAAAACAGGCAGAACACTCTTTGACATAAATCACAGGAAGATCTTTTTCGACCCACCTCCGAGAGTAATGGAAATCAAAAAACAAATGGGACCTAATGAAACTTAAAAGCTTTTGCACAGCAAAGGAAACCATAAACGACGAAAAGACAACCCTTGGAATGGGAGAAAATATTTGCAAACGAAGCAACTGACAAAGGATTAATCTCCAAAATATACAAGTAGCTCATGCAGCTCAATATCAAAAAAACAACCCAATCCAAAAATGGTCGGAAGACCTAAGTAAACATTTCTCCAAAGAAGACATACAGATTGCCAACAAACTTGAAAAGATAACTCTATCACTAATGGTTAGACAAATGCAAATCAAAACCACAATGAGTTATCACCTCACACTGGTCAGAATAGCCATCAAAAAATCTACAAACAGTAAATGCTGGAGAGGGTGTGGAGAAAAGGGAACCCTCTTGCACTGTTGGTGGGAATGTAAATTGTTACAGCCACTATGGAGAACAGTATGGAGGTTCCTTAAAAAACTAAAAGTAGAACTACCATGTGACCCAGCAATCCCACTACTGGGCATATACCCTGAGAAAACCATAATTCAAAAAGAAACATGCACCACAATGTTCATTGCAGCACTATTTACAATAGCCAGGACATGGAAGCAGCCTAAGTGTCCATCGACAGATGAATGGATAAAGAAGATGTGGCACATAGTATACAATGGAATATTACTCTGCCATAAAAGGAAACGAAATTGAGTTATTTGTAGTGAGGTGGATGGACCTAGAGTCTGTCATACAGAGTGAAGTATGTCAGAAAGAGAAAAACAAGTACCGTATGCTGACGCACGTATATGGAATCTAATGAAACAGTACTGGTGAACCTAGTGGCAAGGCAGGAATAAAGACGTAGAGAACGGACTCAACGCAGTGGGGGAAGGGGAAGCTGGGATGAAGTAAGAGATGGCTAGTGGGAAGCTGCTGCATAACACAGGGAGATCAGCTGGATGCTTTGTGAAGACATAGAGGGGTCTTAGAGACCCCTCTAGGTCATAGAGAGGATGGGAGAGAGGCTCAAGAGGGAGGGGATATGGGGATATATGAATACTTACAGTTGATTCACTTTGTTGTACAACAGATACTAACACAACATAGTAAAGCAATTATACTCCAATAAAGACATTAAAAAAAATTCATTGAGGTCCTGAAACACCCTTTCCTTCAACCTCAATTCCTGGATTTTCACTTTTCTTTGCCTACCTCTCCATAGCTTAGCATGTATGAGGAAAAAATTATTCACTGCCTATCACACTATTTAGGTTAATGTGTTTTTTAGTTTACACATTTAGCTTATTTATTCTTTCAGTAACTGTTAGGTGTAGAGGGGTGTGCATTTCATATGCACTAACAAGCTAATAGGCCTCTCAACAGAGACTGAGCAATAGATGAAAGCATGGGTTAAAGTCTACTTTCATTTATTTGTTCAGTAAATACTAATTGCCCATGTGCTTGGCACTTTGCTTCTGAGTCCAGGTTGCCTATTAAAACAGAGGCGTCCAGGGACTTCCCTGGTGATCCAGTGGTTAAGACTCCACGTTTCCTCTGGGGGAGCACGGGTACCATCCTTGGTCAGGGAATGGCGAGGCCAAAGAAAAAAAACAGAGGCATCCGGTTAAGAACCTAAGAGAGCTGAGTCGCGCCTCTGACACATTGATCTGTGTGACCTTCGCTGAGTTACCTAACCTCTCTGTCTTCAATTTTCTAATCTTTAGGACAGTCATTCCTATATCATAGTATTTTGATGTAGTTTAAGTAATATAAAATATTTATTAAGTACCTACTATGTGCCAGACATTTCTAAGTGCTAAAGACATAAGCAGTGATCAAGTTCCTGGTCTCAGAGCTTTTTTAAAGAAAAAATTTTATTTTTTGCTGCGTTGGGTCTTCGTTGCTGCGCGTGGGCTTTCTCTAGTTGTGGTGAGCGGAGGCTACTCTTCGTTGCGGTGCACAGGCTTCTCACTGCGGTGGCTTCTCTCGTTGAGGAGTACGGGCTCTAGGTGCGCAGGCTTCAGTAGTCGTGGCATGCGGGCTCAGTAGTTGTGGCTCGCGGGCTCTAGAGCTAAGGCTCAGTAGTTGTGGTGCACAGGCTTAGTTGCTCTGAGGCATGTGGGATCTTCCCGGACCAGGGCACGAACCCGTGTGCCCTGTGTTGGCAGGCGGATTCTCAACCACTGCTCCACCAGGGAAGCCCTTTTTTTTTTTTTGTTTTTAAACAAGCTTTTATTGAGAAATATCTTCGACATTATTTTGGGAATTGTCCTCCTTCTCAAGAGTGTATCTGTCTTTGTCTCTCTCTCTCCCCCTTATAAATCTAAATGTTATTTCATCACTAAATAAAATATATTAATAAAAAATACAGAGAGGAACATATTTAATGAGCAGACTTTTAAAAGATGATTCATATTCAATAGATCTCTATGTAGGGAAGCCCTTTT